CAGTAAAATAAAAAATATAAAATTCGAAAATATATTTCTCACCTGAACAAGTGTCTGAGATTACCATCTTAAACTGCTGTACATAATATTGTTAAGAAAAAAAAAAAAGAAAACTAAAAATATTGTGATCCCAATCAGATTTCTTGGAATTTTGTTTGATTGAAAATTTCCATATCTACGACTGAGGTCGTTTACATATGCTATCGAACCAAAGCGTCCGAAACCACTTTCATGTCGATTACCGTTGAATCGTCTAAAAAATCACTTCCATGTCAGTAATCGTTAAAAACTGCTTATATGTTGATAACCGTCAGAAACTGTTTTCACGTCGGTTACCAATTTGAACCGTCCAAAAACTATTTCCACATCGATTACCGATCTGAAGCATCCGAACTTGCTTCCTTGTCAATTACCGATTTGAACCGTTCGAAATCGCTTCTTAGTCGGTAACCTTTGTGACCAACCGACCAACCGTCTTAAGGCCCACACTTAGATGAAAATTGTCCGTAGAGCCAACCGTCCGACCGGCCTAGCCCCAACAACCATCCGACCGAATGACTCTGGCCTAGATCGGCATTGGGCTAATCCATTCATCAGGCTTAAACCCAAATCTTTTTTTTTTTTTCTTTTTTTTCTATACTCAACAATATCGTATCAAAATATTATTTTTAAAAAAAATAAAATTTAAATCAATACCAAATTTCAAATCAATTTCAAAACACAACCAAACAAATTCCTAAATTCGTAAATTAATATATTTTTCCATAAAACCTAAAACTTACCCAAAAAATTATTTTTTGAAACTTTTTTATCCTAAAAAATTGTGGTGTTAGATTAGATTAGATTAGATATATAGAATTAACTTAGTATTTTAGAGGCTGGAGATGATAACTTGAATGATATAAAAATTATTTTGGAATGATAATTATACGAAATTGACGTAATTAAAAATGCATTGAAAATATAATAAGCATTTATCGACACATGTTTTATGTGTGTTTAGTGTATATATAAATTGATTTAGTACAATTATTACATACTAGGTCGGATATGTTTGCGTATCAATTCATCTTTCTCATAATTTCATTTGCTAGATATTTTTTTCCAAATTGGCAGCCTATGCATAATAATTTTTCATATTTCTTCGGTTTGTATATGGTTTTATAATTAATCTGTATTTTTCTACTTTTTTTTTTTTTTCGTATAACTAGCAATTGAATATGATATTTTTGTAAAAAATAAAAATAATGTATATTGTTATAAGGAATTTTTAGAATTGTATAATAATAATAATAATAAAAGAACACAGTTCGATATAATTATAATCAAATTATTATAGTCACATTGTCTCCTGGGATTTTTTTATTTTTACTTCAGGTCAACTTTGATCTTTAACTTGGCATGAAATGATTTTTCTACAGAAATTTGCAAGATTTGATCTTCATGAAAATTAATTTGATTTACTATGGCATTTTTGTGGATCATATATATATATATATATATATATACACTAGTCGCTCGTTTGTTGCGCTACGCCGCTGTTATGTCTTCTTTACTGTAGACACAAGAATTTATGAAGGGTATGATTAGTAAATAATTAAGAATGTATTAATAAAAATAATTATTGTATAATATAAGTAATTATAAATTAAGATTAAATAATTAATTAGTTTAATTAAAATTTAAAAAAATTAAAAAATATAATATTTAAATTAAGATTAAAGTGTATAATTTTTTTTTTTTTGAAATGACAAAATATGTGGAACAAATGAAAATAGAAAAGTATGCATAATAAATAGGACGAAGGGAGTATAAATTAATTTCAAAAAATACAGGAACTTATATCATTATTAATACAATTGCATTCCAATATATATTAGTAGTATTCTTTACACAAATAGTAAAGTATTTTATTCTTTTACTATGCTAGTTGATTATTATTTCAATAATACGGTCACGAATGAGTAAAATAAATAAATAAAAGTGAATGTTCATATGTATTAATTACTTTTATTTTGTATTAGCTCAATAATAGTCAATAAAAAACGTAATGACCGAAATGAATCTATCGAATAAAACAAAGAATAATTTTTCATATAATAAAAAAAATTTGTTAAAAATAAAAAATAATTAAGAAAAATCTCTATCATTAATTTTTATTGTACTATAATAATAAAATAAATTCTACTTAAAAAAATTAATATTGTTATATAATAGAATTAATAAAGTTAATAATGTTGAATGAAATATTTGTAACAAAATAAATAATTATATTAATATAGTTTTTTGGAAAAGGGTGAGAAAGAAAATAAATTATTGGATAAAGGATATTAATGTAATTTTATTTAGCAAAAAATTTTTAAGATATATGTATGTTATAGGATATATATCTAATTTTGGGTTGAAATGACAAAATTGTTGCTTTCCATGAAGAACACGAACACCTGCTTTGAAATTTGGTTTGGATTCGGAAAAAAAAAAAAAAAAATTGTTAAATTAAGTAGTAATAAGGGGTAAATAAAACAGTTAGTACAACTATTAGTCTAGAATAATTTATTGAAAGGATTAAATTATTAATCAGGCAAAATTGTCTATAATTCCCTTATAATTTCGAAACTCAACGTAAATTTCCCATTTACTTTAAAAATTGCATAGTACCCCTTATACTTTAAAAAACGTTGCATGAAACCCCACCACCATAAAACTTTCCTCGTGTGATAAGAAGATAATGTTTTGCATGACATGGGGACTTTATGCAATATTTTTAAAAGTATAAGTAAACGTCATACAATTTTTTAAAATAAAATGAAAATTTATGTTGAGTTTCAAAACCACAAAGTGATTTCATGCAATATTTTTTAAAGTACAAGGGAGTACCATGCAATTTTTAAAGTAGAGGAAAAATTTACGCTGAGTTTCAAAACCATAAGAGAGTTATGGACAATTTTGCCTTATTAATTATAGTATTGTTACCGGACTCGAGTTTTAGTCGAAAGATTGAATAGATTGGATAAAATAAAATCATCATCACTCTTAAGTATAATGAGTGCGTTTATTTTTTTTTATAGGCTCATTTCCATTTTTAGGAACTAGATCCCACTTTTTTACAAAATTATCTCTATTTTTTCACAATAATTATATAAAATAAAGATATTTTTGATAATTTAAAAACATTTTTATATCAACTATTAATATAATTCTATTATTTCTTAATTCTCATACTCAACCCAAATGTCTCTATTATTTGGAGACTGAGAGGGTATATAAAAAAATAATATTTTATATAAAATTATTAAATTTTAAGTAAATAAAATACATATTATGTATGTATATACTATATTTTTCATAATATTAATAAAAAAATGTAAATTTTTTTTGAGAAACTATCTTTTACTTCTCAGAGGCCACAGTTGCTAACGTGTAGCATCATAGACATGTGGAGAACACAGTAGAATATATGATTATCATTTTTGCCAAAATTTTTAGTTATGGAACTAATCTAGTCTAGTTATAATCGATGCTCAAATAATTTTCATGTGTCACTGACACAATCTCAGACGTGCCACAATACTACCACGTCGGCAACTCCAGCATCTGAAGACTATTTCTACCAAAAAATTTTTAGTCGTGGGACTAATTCAATACATGATCTAATTATAATTCTAGAATGGTTAAAGGGTCACTTACCGGGAACTAAAAACAGTTTTTCAAAAAAATTTATATCATTACACTTACACACCTACCTCCAGCTTCACTGGAAGCCATACCATGGTGATGATGGAGACACATTCTTTGTTCCTTGCCAGCAGAATCAGCCAGAGGGCAAGATTCAGGGATCACACACCAATCTGTTATTGTCGGAATTCTCAGCTGCCCTGATAATGTAAAACAAGAAAAGAGAGCACGATGAAGTTGATGACAATAAGAGTATCGATGTTTTGGGTCACCCCACAGTTTCTGATAATTCTGTCCAGATATCAGAAAAGTTCCCGGAAGTTGGTTTGATAAAGTTTTTCTTTAGAAGGGATCCAATTGTTTTTCACTGCTGTAACAAATCTAATGTAGAACGACTGAGCAACAACAATCTTACCAAGTATCGGTCGAATCTGTTCTGCTGGATGCTACCAGTTCCGAGCTTCCACAACTATCTAATATGTGCAAAATGGTAATCCTATGCCCCCCATCTTCATCAGATAGTTCCGGTAAAAATAGAAAATAAGTTTTTGAAGTAACATTCATGTTTTTTTTATAAAAATACTGTAGATGAATATTGTCGGATTTTTAGAAAATATTTGTAAACAAAGTGTAAATATATTAAATAATAACTAGAGATTGCAAGCTAATACTGCTAAGCACATAAGACGCATAAAAAAAGCCAATCCAAACGCCATCTCAACCATCCATCAATTATTCAGTAAAAATTGAAGTATAAATTCAAAGGAAAATGTACCATGTAAACGAGATGAAGAAAAAAAAGGAACAGCGATAACTAAAACTGCAATTATAAATTACATCACCTGGTGTTGTGCTTTCTCAGGCTGAAATCTGGCACAACCCAGTTTTCCTTTAAATGTCCCCTATGCAGAGAAAATGTAACAGAGAATATTTAGTCGGAATTCATACAACAAAAACCAGAAGCCACCACTAACCACCTGCCAGATGCCTTCAATCCAACTGGTAATTCCACGATCCAATTGAGACGTTCGGTAGGGACAGGAGTAAGGGTATTGATATTTAATGTTACCCAAGAAAACTCAGATCCAACCTGCAAAACCTAAGAAACAACATATGCAGGACTATTTAAACAAAACAACAAATTTCCAATAAAGCAACTCAACGAGGCACTGAAAAAGTCGGTGAAAAGGGCCCAAAGGGAAAAGAAGAGAAATATAGAATTTTCGTACTTCTTTCCTTCAAAATCTGTTAATCACCAGAATGCTGAAGGACATGTATAATTTACCTTACACTTGCACCCACTCCACACAACCAGAGAAAAGTCGTAGTGCAAGCATGTGGTTGAATTAGAACTAAATACCAATATTGTTCAGTTGTGGACATAAACATTTCAATGAAAATAACTGTCCAAAGACAAACTTCTTAAATTCTCACCACATACTTTTGATTGGACAAACTTGAAACCAATCTACATAACAGAGATACTCGAGAACTGTTTAGGGTTTAATCATCTGCAGATTCAATATTAGCTCCTTTGAGATGCAGGTGCTTTTCTCTTTTCTGAAACTCAGTCAAACCCTTTCCACTTCCAGTTACCCCCACCTTTCCAAATGGATCATCCGGAGATTTAAATATGCTTTCTCTCTTTCGCCCGGAGAAGAAACCAACCTGAGAGAAACATACAACAACAAAATCAATAGAGGATGAAAAGAAAGAAAACTGAGAAGCTGTATAAACATCATACAGAATAATACTTATGACAAGACTTCCATATTACAAGTTGGGGAAAAGTTGACATCTCAGTCTGTCGATATATAGACGATTTGGTTTTATGATGCCCCATTCAAAGGCCTTCAAGAGAATTGGGAGAAAATAAAAACATAGTAGTAAACGATCTCACAGCACAGCACATGGGGTGCACATAAGTATTAATATATTCTTATTATACATAACACATGTACATACAATTAATGATACATTTCAACAATAAAAAAAATGATCATTCAAGTATCTTACAAAGAAATTAGAATATAAAACTAATAAAATAAGTAATAGAGAAAAGTAGTTTATACGGGAATTTTGAAATAGTGGCTGCAGGCCATGTTACCCAGCAAAGGACCAGCAGCACAGTGGGAGACAGAAGGGAGCGTGACAAGCAAAGTGGTGAGATGAGAAATAGGATAGAGGACAGTGGCCGAGCCCAAGAAACTTAGTAATAATGATAAAATTTCACTATTTACAAGATGACAAATATTATGTATACTTAATGAAATACAGTTCTCACATCACTTCAACATACATATTAAACTTATTTTTAATCAAATATATTACATAATACCCCAAAACCCATCCAAGCATCATCTTATTCAACTTATTTCAAAAAATTGCAAAACCAAAAACCCTCCCTAATGCAAATAAATTCCAGAACTCACACAAGTCTAAAACTTTTCATATCCTCACTTAATTAGATAAATATATATAAGCCCTAACATGTCCTAATTAACTCTAATAAATAATATTAAAATTGTGCCTTGCACTGTGGCAATGGCGCCTCTGGCTGGACCTTGGATGCGCATCTAGATGTGGTACGCCTCACCATAGCATATGGTGCAGTGGCTGCTCCATGCCATTTACAAGTGTGGATAAAATTTTCCTTTAAATAACAATATGACATGCCTGACCAAAAAAAGTAGCATAAACTCAAAACACTGGTAGCTTCTGAAAGATGAGAGTTTGTATATATCCCTGTCAGTGATTTACTGATATAGCTTAGAAACGATTCATATGAGTAGAGGCATTCAACTCAGCCAGAAATAGATGGGTTCCAGCTACTTCCCTAATGTAGTTTAAAATTTTCCTATAATTTCCCATATAAGGGAATGTTCAAATGTTACACAGGAGACAAACACCACTGTAGTAATAGATGTCAAAAAAGAATTTAAAGAAACAGGTAAGCAAACCTTCTTGGCTCGCCCTTTGGTAGTCTGGAATTGCTGCCAATCATTCTGCCTCTTATTTTGGGCAACTTCTTTTGCTTCCATTCGCATCTTCGACTTGTAAGCATGTAACTTTTTCCGTTTGGCAGCTTTCTGAAAACAAAGATATGCATAATTACAATAGCAGCAGAAACAGAAATAGTACACTAAAATACTGCAAGCCATCTAAAAAAAATACTCATTTGCCAAAAGATACTTAACCATTCATAGCAAGAAATGAAAACATAATAATACAGCAATACAAAGATTACGAGCAACTCAACCATAATTTTAGTTTATTTGCAGAGTTTGATAACGTTCGATACAAGCTCAACTTTTGTGCACAAAAAAGAGCAACCACTTCATGAAAGAATAGTATAAATAATCATAAGTAAAAAAAATAATTTTCAACATACCACATCTTCAGGATCATTGGGATCAATTTTAAGTTTTTGTGGCACAGTCCAGGATTCAAAGTCCTTAACAGCAGCTTGGGCAATCTTACGTTTAAGGGCTTCTTTTGTGGCCACAGCAATCTTTTCAGCTTCTACCAGAGGATCAGCAGAGTCTTCTTCGATTGGTCTAACATTATCATGATCCACCTACACAATATCAAACAAGCATAAGCAGAAAGACCTAACAGAAGCCTGAATGAAATTCTTTTATTTCACTAAAAACCTTTTATGAAATTAAAATTGTTCATTTCAAATAAATTCATAGTTATGTCTTTATATTAGACACCAAATGGTCTTTTTCTTTTTCTTGCATATTAATATAGCAGTTTCATCTACCATCTTCTCCTATTGCTAAATTTAAGAATTACAAACAAGATAAATACAACAAGAGATCATATAAAAGTAGGGAGACTATTTTTTGAAGGGTGGGCGGCTTAAAAACATATATCAGTGAGTATGCACGTGTGAGAAATAAACAATCAACATAAGATTAGGTTTCAGTAGAACAAGAATCCAGGGAAAGGGTGCCAGGGTGGGTGTGTACATAAACCAAGCTAATAATCATTTAAATTTAGAATATTAAATCATACCTCTTCCTTGTTACCCCATTCATCGTAGCAAACAATATAGCCATTGGGAGTGAGTGACTCGACCGTCCCATTGTACCTGAATATTCAAATAAATCAAACCACAAATGTGTGTGTGTGTGTGAGAGAGAGAGAGAGGAAGAGGAAAGAAGTTGAAAAAATCATAAATTCCAAGGAAATCATTCAAGTATTGTACATACCACTCTCCATCTTCACTCCAAACTGCTTGAACTTTGGTGCCAACAGTAAATTTGTGGCCATAATCAGCAGTAGGTTTCAAATTCTGCCCAGAGACGGAGAAAGATTAACCCATTAACAGAAACACAAGATTAGGCAATCATGATCAGCTTTAGTCAAGGAGTAAATGATGGATACGCATTAGCTGAATTGAGCAAAATTCAATGAAGATTCATAGTCGAGGCTAGGAGAGACTTGGAAAGATGGGAGCATGATTAACTGCTTCACAGAGGCTCAAAATCAAAGAAAGAGCTGTGCATATGAAGCCAATGACCAAGTGACTATTAAAGGAACAAGCAATCTAGGCATCACAAGTATGCTTCCATCTCACAGAGTTTAATACCCCTAATAAGTACATAACTGCAATCAGCAGTTCCATCCTCCCTAGTTTTGAGTTATGACAACAGTCCAGGAGCCAAACTTCACTAGTAAATTTTTTCTAACGTCAGGTCTTTTTTTCTCATAAGCAGGGATAGGGTTGTTTAAGCACTGTCGAACTCTTTTTCCCTCAGCTTCATACCTCAGTATCTTTCCACACAGGATGTTCATGCTCAATCTTCCAAAATAAGTCTCTTAATATGACATAAATAATTATAAATAAGTTGAATGGGGGTGCTTGTTTAAATGAACCACCACTCAGATATTACTGCTTAACCGTGTAACAGCTCATTAGAGAAAGCCAATGCCACTCAATACAAAGTTAGCATTGCACCAATCAACTACACAGCGAGACCAGGAGTAGAGAAGCTGAGAAGACATTGATACTTCTCTAGCTATGTGGTTCTTTCCTTCGCTCAATTAATAGATATTGTTGGTCCATTTTCTTTTAGAGCCTGATTTTTTCACTATTTAGCATATCATGACCAGCATCTACTCATTACTTATTAGTCCGCAACATGTATAACATATAAACAGACGAGTAGTACCACAAACTTAAACAGGTGATTGTGTAAGAAATAAAGAGATAAGGAACTACGTTCTTCAACTGGTTTGCAACCTTACACATCTTTACTCATGGATATTTTACTCTAGAAGATCAGACTATTCCTTTAGCCTCTGTTAGAAAAGTTAATAATACTGGCATATGGAAACCAAAATCTCATGCAGCTTCTACTATCAGAAATAGAAATAACAGTGTGATTTCTCACTTGATATATGTGAAATTTTGAATAGCAAAAGAGGAGTTGATCAATTATAAACGATCATGTTCAATAGGCTCTCCACAGACACGGAATTGCAGGATGAATGGCATCAACTCAGGCAATCTCAATAATCACTTGTGTATAATACATTCCTTAAACCCTAAAACTATTTCGTGTAAATCATATTGTTTCAAAACCATATTAAACCTCACAAACCATCTAAAAAAATTGAAAGTAACCTTTCCAGAGGTTTGATATTACATACCATATGATAGGAGCTTTCCGGAGAATGTTGACTAGCAGATAGTTCACCACCAGTCCCAGTACCAAGTTCAGAAATTGCATCACTGTGTTTTGCTGTTGCCAGAAGTTCTTCTGTCAGAGCAATAACCTGCAGCACCAGAGTGATGGAGAGATAGGAAGAGACAATGTCAGAATTAATAGAGCAACTTATTTCACCACAGTCAACCAGAGAAATTATACTTCAAGTCACAGTAAAATCTGAAAATTACGAGACACTGCAGGCGGGCCATCACCAACTAGCATACCTGCAATTGAACCAAGACACAAGTGATGGGCACTTGGCAGACTCCTATGCTCCTTTATTAGAAAATTCCCCATTTTTATACACCATACATGCATATTTCTTTTAACAAGAAAAAACATCCTCACCTTGACAAACACAAGGTTATAAACCCTTTCTTCAGTCATGTAGTTCCTTCAACTGCTTGTTCGAGCAATAATAATAGTTGAGAAAGACATAAGAGATTACAATTAAACTTCAATGTAAACTTATAATCAGATTTTATGATATTATAAAAATTATATATATATCTTATTGACTTTTGAACAGAAAGATGGTCATCCTATTAATAAAGTGTTAACCTGATGCCAAACAGGTAAGAATTTTTTAAAGTTCTGTAGATAAAGAGAGCTACAACACTACGAAGCTCCTACCTCAGTGTTAAATATAAAATAAAGAAATACAATGAAAACAAAATTTCTATGGAAAAGAAAAGTAAGATATACCCTATAATGAATACAATACCTCAGTGAGTTCCTTTTCCATGTCCAAAAATTCAGAATTCTTTGGATCATCGTTCAATAGGCCACGGACCTGCGCTCACATAAAACAAAATGTCATTGAAGAATAACATATAAATATTACGATTTTCCAGAAATTCTGCACAACCCTAAGAACAAGACTAACAAATCACAACTTGAAATGGAATAAAGAAATAAGTTAAAAGCTCTTCAAAACAAGACACAAATATCCTATGAATGATAGACATAGTAAAAGATCATACCTATATGTACCCCCCCCACCCCCAAATCAGGCATATATAAAAAATTACCAACCAAACAAACACCCAATAATCAACACCATAAGAGAAATTAGTCACCTTCCATTTTATTTTTACTACATACAACTAAGTTCACTGATGTTAAAACAATTTCATAATTCTTTCCGCAAGCAATAGGTTCACTTTGTCAAGTTAATTGAATTTAAGCATTTGTCAAGTTAGTTTTTTCTTACAGGGTTCAATTTAATCATTGTACCATTATAATACAATTTCAGTAAGTATCTAAACATAGCCTAAATATTAAAAACCAAATCTTATTTTCCAGCTGATAACAGAAAAATTAGCAAACAAGCAGAAAAGAATTGCATTGAGGGGGTTTTACAACCATCCAAGAAGCAATTTAACTTGTATGTCCAGGGTTTTGGGTTTACCAAGAGAAAATACCCAAAAGATTACTAAGAACACCAAACAAGCTCAAACATGCTTGTTAAAGAAGATGACTTTATAATAGGAGGGAAGGAGATGTATAGAAACCCTGGATCTAAATATTAGAAGATAATTTCCAACACAAACGTCTTGCCCTAATTTCAGTTATTCTATTTCTACTTCAACTTTAGATTTGTTTTTGTTCTCCCATCAGCCTTCTTGTTCTTTAGGAAGACAGATTCTTCTCAATCAATAAATAAACCTCAGTAAAAACTGCAATCAAGGCTCAGGGGGGGAGATCAGAGCTTGTTTATATATAATCTCATTTAGGTTTTGATTTTTGTGAGATGCTCTCTCCAAATTTATGAAAATAATCAAACGGAACTTCATAAAATCCTAACGCACACACCTTCCTTATCTATTCCCCAACAAAACTATCACAATTCCACACCAGCCAACTGATAAAAAGGCATCAAAACGCTCCAATTCTCAACATCCTTTATCAATAAAAACACATCGATCGAACCCACCGACCGGCGCGAATAAAAAATCAAAACGCCCAATTTTTTTGCATCCAGTAAGTTAACTATACAAACATCAAAACACTATCAAGGGAGTAAACAAACACTTAAACCCCGGGAAAAGCACCTGTTGAAGCTGGTCCTTGTAAGTAGAAAGATTCGCCGCGAGTTCCTGAATGTTCACCTCTTCACCTTCGCCGGCCTCCATTGTTTCTGTATAAATTCTAACAACAAAAACCCTGCAAATCAGAAGGAAGAATTCGGCTACTCCCAATCGAATTTTTCCGCAGAGAAAAACGAAACCCTCGTCGACGTCGAGGAAAGGGAATTAGGATATTTCCTAAGCGAACATCGTCCTCCTTTTATAGTGTCACGCGTGTGAATCGTGTGAATACTATTTCTTTAATTAACTAATTTTATACATGTAAGCTATGTCTAAATTGACAATATTTAAAAATTTTGGCAATATATTTGTTTAGAGTTTTGATTTGATGTATATTTTTTAATGTGAGATACTCTCCGTTTCGGTGAAAGGTTGTCATTTATGTTTTGCACTTAAATTTTTTAATATTAATATTACAATGGATTGTAATGAAAAAGACGAAAATACCCTCTATTAGAATTGTGTAATATAAAAGTAACTATATTTGTGTATTATAGTCTAAATTGGAAGAATATTTATTATATTAGATAGATAGTACAATTACTAAATTAGAAAATAGTAACCTTGTTTTAGGACGAACACGAAAATGGAAAATGACAACCTTTCAATTGTACAGATGAAATATATTAGGTAGGTAGTACAATTACTAAATTAGGAAATAATAACTTTGTTTTGGAACGAACACGAAAGTAGAAAATGACAACATTTCAATGGAACAGATGGAGTATATGAAATTATCTTAATATAAAGAATAATATTTTATGTTGTAATGTTAATTTTTTGTGATATAATAAAATATAATATACTATTACATATATTAAGAATTGTGTAGAAAAACAAACAGTGTTTTTTGGCGATTTTAACACATTTTTACTTCATTCGTCCAACTTGATCTCATTTACGTTTCGTGTTATTATAATATTATAAGACATTAATGAAAATATTTTTGTAATTTTTTTTAATTTGCTTACGTTTTGATATAATAATTAATATTCAAAGATCAACACGCAAGAAAATTAAATAAGAGCCTTAGAGCCCGGACTTGGGTAATATTATTCATATTCTTTTTTTCTTCAAAAATATAAAATCAAATAATTATTATTTTTTATATATTATACTAAAAATTTATTTTATATTCAAAACCTATTATCAATATTTATTTATATTATATTAAACAACTATCAAATTTAAATTTTTAGTATTCAAAAATCCAAATTCAAACCCACAAACAAAGACACCCTAAAGATCTTATAGCAAAATTCTCTTGAGCTATAAAGTTATACAATTTACATTTACTTGAGTAAGAAAATTTAACTAAATGTAAATTAATTAATAAATGCGAGTTGTCTATGTGCAAAAATTATTAAATTAATTAAATAATAGAGCCAATTAATAATAATGAACAATATACTAAGGTTGTGATGTCAAATCTAGATGTCATATTTTACATTTTCATATCTCATCATCGAAAAGAATGGCTAAGAAATTTAAATTTTTAGGAGTGTTGCGTCAAAGACTTTAAGAATGTAATTCTTTCAATCGACTCGTAGATTCGAATTTGATTATTACTATTGAAACAGATTAAAATTATTTGTTTTTATCATCTGAATTATTTTACATGGTAGATCTTAGCTTATTGTTTAATATCTAATAAGTTCTAACACTAAACACCATAAATTGGGTATGGAATCCTCGGTCGAATATATATTTAGTCTACTCGGTCGAGCCTCTACACAAGCGATGCATGTCCAGTCGGTAATGTTTATTTATTTTTTTAATTTAAATCAATTTTTTAATATTTTAACCAAATTGTAATTTAGTCTCTCTCTTCTATTTTTAAATTTTCCCTTTGTGAACTAAAATCCCCCCATTTCAACCGACCTTCTGTCCAGCTATTCTCATTGCTAACGCGTTCAACCGGGAGGTAAAGACTCTCTCCAAAATATTTTTTTGTTCTTTTTTATTCATTGAAATCTAAGTTTATAATTTATCGTATTTTAGACTCAACTCTTGCATTGGGTTCAATTTGATTAGTTATTCTCTTGGGTAGCCAGTTGTATCACCCATTACATTTTTTTTGTACTCTTGTATTGGGTCCAGGTTCGATTCATTGAACGTTTACTTGCTGGTAATCACTAGGTTCAATTATTTTGTTATTCTATTGTTTTGCATTTTGGGTTCTTGACTATTATAGTTAATGTAAATATATTAAGGGTAATAGAGATTGATGAGTTAATTATGAATAAGTCTTCGTCTTCACGTATGTTAAATTTTACGAATATTAAAAATGATGGTCAATCCTATAATTACTACATTTCTTCTGAAAAAATACCTTAAATTGAAAAGGAGTTTGACAATAAAAAAAGACACTTGACAATTTTACTTATTTTATGTTAGGAAAACATATTTTAACATGAAAATACACAAAATACATAGAGATCAACACATGAAAGATAAAAATTTAGAATATTTTCTTATAGTATCGAATCTACAAACGGAGAAGATAAAAGAAATATCAGTGTAAGACTTCACAAGCAATAACAAGATTTGGATGCAAGACAATGATGAAAATTCGATTGAAAGATATGAGAAATACAAAATATTTAAGTTTATTTTTGAACACATTAATCAGCTTACTTATCTTCAAAAGATTCATTTTTTTCATCGCATCAATGCTGCCAAAATTAGTATAGTCGAACACTTGAGACTTGCTTAAAAAATCTCATATGATTTAATAGTTAAGAAAGCCGATAGTTAGGATAGCTTATAATTTTAAAGTCGAGTTATTAAAAAGTACTTGCGATCAAAGAGGACAAAGTACATGGAGGTAGGGCTGGCAAAAATTAACCCGACCTGATAACCCGACCCGAACCTGACCTGAAATAGTTGGGTTTGGGTTGAGATTTTCGACCCAATTAATAATTGGGTCAAACCCGTTTAACCCATTTAATTAAATGGGTCAGGTTAAGGTCTACATTTTCGACCTGGAAATAACTCGTCTAACCTGTTTAATTAATATTATTTTAAATTTAAATATATTTTTTAAATTTTATCAATACAATTCAATATTTATGGCCAATTTTATAAAAATAAACAATAAAAAATAAAGGATTGTGTTGTGTACTGTTATGTAGTGTTTGTTAATTCAATTCTTGAATATCGGTTTCATGTTATGAATAAATAATTTTTTGCTTTAATATGTATATATATTTAATTTTGGTAGTATAAATTGTAATTTTAAATTAAAATTTAAAAATTTTAGATTTAAACGGGTTATATGAGTCATATTCAGTTGACCCGATTAATAAAAGATTATGTTAAGATTGCAAATATCAACCCATTTAATTAAATGAGTCAGGTTCAAGTCAAAGATGGAGGGAGAAACATTAGATAGTGCTATAATAATATTTGCAAAGATGCAAAGTAGAGATTCAAGTGCCACGTATTATATTAAAGTGGATAAAAATAATATGATTACAAACATATTTTGGATTTGACGGGAGAATGAAAACATATTATATTGATTTTGAGACGTATTTTCTTTCGAGAGTATATATAGAGAAATTAGAAAAAATCTATTGTTAACCTTGTGTGTCAATGTTAAACACCACAAACAAACAATAATTTAGGCACAATAATACGACTAGATTACTATCATTTTGATCTAGGCACAACAATATTTATTTTACATTTATTTTTTTAATATAAATATAATGATTCGACAACAAAGTAATAAGATTCGATTGAACTCATGACCCACCGACACAAATCCAACTTCAACACCATTAGGTTATCCCTTACTAAAGTCTTTTATAATATGAAAAACAGCTACCGAAAATGTGCATTAGATAAACTCCGGTTAAACTATTTCTCCAACAATTGGTGCACCATACCGCTATTTCTATTCCGGAACAGAAACAGAGGCGCGGTAGTCGGTCGGTCGGTCACCGTGCTTCGTTATGTCCGTCGTCTCGTCCACTAGAATGCCACGTGTGTCTTGTAACCTTACTTCCGTCACCCACTTGTCACTTTACCATTACCCCCTCCCATATATATAAATATTCTGATACGTATAGAGAGAGAGAGAGAGAGCGAGAGCGAGACGAAGAAGACGCGGCGTATCAAACCAACCCAGCCAACAAGAAACGGTGCCATTCTCCCATCGCCGGAGTTTCTCCTCTATATCCTGAATTTCTTCTATTTGTAAATCCATGGTGTAGGTATTTTGATCCTCAACATTTCGCTACATATAAAATATATGTGTATCGTTTTGGGCGATTATGGACAACCGAGGAATGAAGCTAAAGGACTCGTCAAATTCTGCCTCGCAAACATTAGCGTCCTCCGACTCGCGTCGCCTCGTTCGCGAGACGCTTCGAATCAGCGCTAACCTGGCATCCGCGCCTCCATGCACGACAGAGGCGAAGGAGCGACCGGCGTTACAGGACTCGAGCTTCGGCGGAGCAGTTGCCGATCAATTTTTGGACTCGAGCTTGAGATTGATCTGCTGCGAGGAGATTGATGGCAGGAGGTGGAATTACTTTGCCCATGACGATGGCGATGGGAATCGTGGCTTCAAGCAATTGAAGAAGAGCAGCTCTAAGCAATTGAAGAGGAATTCAATTCGCGCAGTCAGCTTACAAGCTCCCCGTGCCCCTTCTGAAGTACGTAACTTTTCTACCTTAATTTTCTATCATGTTATGCGGGAGCATGAGATATAAGTACATAATTTGTTGTCTTAGCATCTATAGACCAATGTTATGATTCTGTTATTTCATTGATAACATGGATATTAGAAGTTTTGGTGCATTATGTTTGATCAACTTGAGATTTTGTTTTGACTTCTCATAAACAATTCATGTTTTTTCTTTGAAAGCTCAGTTTCTTTGAAGAGAAAAAGGATAAACTAATGAAAACTTCTCTGCTTTGTTAATAATGATTGAATATCAGCATCACATGACATGAAACAATATTGTCCTAAAATAATGCAGGAAGTGATCAGGGAATCACTTGTTTTGTAGAATTAAATCAGGCTAGTGGAACAAAGTTAGAGAATTGCAAATATAATCAATGCAAATGGAGAATGCATGAGAGGATTCGGGGGTCGTTTTGTATGCATCTATCCCTACATAAAATAAACTAAAGACCATTGACAGAATGAGAAGGTTAAAAATATTGAAATATAAAAAATTGAAGGAAAAGTAGTGGATATTCCAAGAAGGAAAATGAATCATGGACAGTTGGACACCAGTTAGATATTTTATTTTCATTCTATAAATACTTGAATAATGTTTTTGTATTTTCCAGGAGTTGATTTCATTTATAAGGTCCTATGTTGTACCAGATGGTTTTCCCAATAGCGTCACACCATCTTATGTTCCATATATGACGTGGAGAGCTTTGCAGGTAAACTTTTCATGTGTTCATGCTACCAAGATTGCCATGCTGCACAACATCAGATGCTTTTCGAAAAAAGTTATTCTGTTTGAATACTGCTGTACTTATGTTGTTTTGGTTGTAGCACTTCTTTGGTGGGGCAATGGGTGTTTTTACAACACAAACACTTTTAAATTCTATAGGAGTGTCAAGAAGCAGATCTACTATGAATGCAGTGGCTGTTAATTGGGTTCTTAAGGTATGCTGCACCATTTTATTCATCTTAATATTATTTTTGTTTTATAAATTTTAGTTGAATGCTAGGGAAGGTTTCTCACTTGAAATGGTTGGATGTGTTGAAACTGGTTGGTTAAACTTGATCATTAAGTGCCGCTTTATGTTTCACATCCATCTTCAGGATCTCTTTAGTATGTGGTGACCTACTTGAGAACTTGGTATGCTCTTATATCCTGGGAATGTTCAATTGTTAATTTTGTTCAGGATTCGGTAGCAAGAGCAATATTGGTGTTGATCTTTGCTGTAATGCTTGATAGGAGAGGCTTGGTGTTTCATGTTTATAAATTCCAGAGGATAACCTGAAACTTTACTAATGATTTCAAGATCAGTTTTAAGTTTTGGTGCCATTGGCATAAAGAGCACACCAGAAAGTTAACTAGAAAAAATGGATTATGCTGTACAACTGAAGAATTGGCTGTTTTCGTGAGAGCTTTCTGGTTTGATCTTTCACCATGATAAATAATAATACAACGTACATATAGAAACTGAGGATCTTCCATTTCATCTATCTCAAATATTTATATATGGTGCCCCCCTGGTCTTGATTTCTTAACTATTTTGCGGAGTCTTGGTTATTTACCCCCAAAATTTTCTACTTTAACCTATTGGGTGCTGGGTTTTGGATTTTGTAAGATAGAAATTTGCAGGATTTAAGTTTCAGTCTTCTGATTACTCGTCTTGTATGCTTATAATCACCCAGAATAATTGTTGAAAGAATTTTCCTATCAAGAGGTAAATGCTTATGCATACTTTAAACATTGCATCATTGTTAGTATTATGGAAACTGAGCCATATAGCCACTAGTTTGTGTATAGGTATATTCCATCAAGTGTTTTGGTGTTTCGGGTTATTTTGGGAAGTAAAAGATTGAATATAAGTGTTTTGATGTGATGCAAATGATGTTGGATGTGATATTTTGAATGAAAAATAAGTTCTAGATGTAATATTTGTAAATGAAAAATTGCTTTAAATGTGATATCTTCTAGTTAGATAAACTTTGATGAGTAATGCAAAAACAATGTTGAAAACATTAGTAAACTAAGGGTGCGCCTTGTAGGATGGGATTATGATCCCTAATGATATTTCAATAGATTATATAGTAATAAGATTAATTAATATTATAATTACTTTGCTTGATTAAATATAAATTAATATAAATTTTAATATAAGTATAACTTGGGATAAATCATTACCCTTCTAGATGGGATTAATTATTCTTAATTAGTGTATTATTGTAGTAGGCTTTAATCAATACCAAATTCTAATAAATTATAGTTAACATGTGATTATGTGGGATAAAATAATACTATCTATCTTAATCAACAAAAATAAACACACCCTAAGTGAGCACACTCAATGAATCGAATATTTTATTTTAAGATGCAATTATTCTAATTTATACTAGAAATATTCTGACATGGGCAGGTTGACTTTGTAGTATATATATATATATTTCATTTTGTATGATAGTTCAATTTAAAAGCAGGAATGTCATAGGATTGAGTCAGAGCTTTAATGAAGATAAAACATACTGGTTTATAACGTAAATAGCAAATTCTTTCCTCATGTCAATTTAATAATTCCAGTTGAGATAATATTTTTTACTTTATCTAGAATGATGTTTGAACATTGGGATATCCTTAATGTAGGAAGGTGCTGGACGGGTTGGTAGAATGCTTTTTGCACGGCAAGGAAAGAAATTTGATTATGACCTAAAGCAGGTACATGCTAATTGTAAACTTGGTGATCAAAGGAGGTGAATCATCTATTTCCACAAACACACACAATATATATATATATATATAATATAAAACTATGACCACTCCCTTATCATAATTCAAAATTCATCCAGCTTAGATTTACTGGGGATCTCCTGCTGGAGTTGGGAGCTGGTTTAGAGTTGGCAACTGCTGCATTTCCTAATCTATTCCTTCCATTGGCTTGTGTTGCCAATGTGGTTAAGGTTTTTCTCTAACTTTTCTGTTCATTTGCTTCTTTGATGCAATGGGGGAGACTGTAACTTTATATTATCTCTGTTTGGTTGTAGAACGTTGCTATTGTGGCATCAACCTCAACCCGAGCTCCAATCTACAAAGCCTTTGCTAAAGGAGAAAACATTGGAGACATTACTGCAAAAGGAGAATGTGTCGGAACTATTGCTGATTTGGTATGCTTTTTGAAAAAGAATATATCACTGCATATAGTCTTAATTAATTATGTTGAATCCTAGTTTGGAACTTGGAGCTGCATGGTTCTCAACCCTAAGGGTGAGTTTGGCAAAATGGTTTATAAAAATGAGATGATGAATCGAATACATTGGCAAAATGATTTATAAAAATGATATGATGAATCAAATAAGTGATAAATAAATATTTGTATATTTAATTAGTGATTTATTTATTTATTTAATTTAATTTTGATTTTGAATTTTTTATTTGAATAGTAATTTAAATGTCATGTTTTATAAAATAAAATAATTTTATTTATATAAAAAATTTGAAAATTTAATTAGTAAATTTTTTCTAAAAAAAGAGAGAAATTAAAATGAATAGTCTCATATTTCAGTTTTCAGTTCTCTATATTTCTCTGTATATAACAGAGAATTATTTCGAATGAGAAATAAATTAAATTTCAAGTCTCAATTCCTTGGTTCAACCGAAGAAGAGAAATGAAGCTGTTTTCATTTCATTTTTTTGTACCAAACATATCAAAATTCTCGGTGATAGTTGTTATCACTACTTTCATCTTTATGATGCATACACATTCACAGTGTCATTTAATTCACATTTAGGACCTGATTACGAAAACGTACCGAGAAATTTGCCACACTGCATAACTTTCCAAAAGGTCAAAAGGAAGAGGATCAATGATACTCCTGAAATTGTTAAATTCTCGTGGAGGGAAGAGAGCATAATATGAAACTTTGAACGTCTAATGAATTGACTATTAGCTCAAGATTTTCAGATCTTTTAGTCTCATTTCTTATGATTGATTTTCACTTGGTTGTTGAGTTGGAAGTTGGAACTAACTGAAAGTTCTACTTCTGAAGCTTGGGACTGGACTGGGTATAATGGTTGCTAAAAGAAACCCTCCCTTGGTTCCTACATTCGCTTTACTCTCATGTGGATATATGTTGGGCTCCTATCAAGAGGTTAGATAAGATGAATATCCAAAGTCAACTGTGTCCTCGAATTCTGTGTTTTTGTTGACTGTGGCCATGATCTACTTATTTTCAGGTGAAATCTATTATTTTGCATACACTAAATCCTGCAAGATTTACAGTGGCTGTTGAATCCTTCCTTAAAACAGGTACGTACATCTGACGTATTTCTTCTACTGCATGCTTTTTCTTCCCTTTTAAACCTTTTGCATTCTATATTAAGTTTAGATCATGAGGACCTAATAAGGTTTGTCATAAGATTCACCTTGGTGAGAAAACACTGGATGGATCTTGGTACCTATCATGTGCAACTCCTTGGTGAATGTGGTAATTGATTATGAACAAGGAGGTTTTAATGAAGGCTTCACCTAGTGTGTTCATTATGAGTGTGAATATTAAATTGCAGTTACTAAAGAAATATAATGTTGAGTTGTTATGAATTTTGTCAAGGTGCTTGATTTTTCATGCATTGATGAAACGGGCATATTGAGACCATGACCTTGATGCACTTGCTGTTATGATAGATTTTGTACTTACTGTAGAAGAATGGGTTGCTCACAAGTGTTGTAGAATGATTAAATTCTGAATATCTGAGTAGTTTGGTTGAATGGTGATAGAATTCTACACCATGGCATCCTAGAAGGCTTGCTGATTTTGCATTCGGCTTTGAAGTTCTCAGTTTTAATGAACTTGGAGTTCCATTTATAAATTTTAGATAGATATTTTTTATTCATATTATTAGATTTGTTAGTTTGTATTTAATCCCGTCTAGTAGATTAGAGTGTTATTATTTTGATATATCTATTAAATTAGGTATTATTTATATATATCTACTAGATTAGGTGGTTCTTATGATTTGACCTTGATCTTTTTGTATAAGGTCTATAAATCGACCTTAATTGAACGTCCCATAAATTTTCTTCCAAAATGTAATATGGTATTAGATCCATGTTTTCTTTGGATATATTCCTGTAGTGTACACCTGGAGGATTGCCTTTTGAATCAGAGATCCCTACCACTTCGAAAATATATATGCCATTCTAATTCCACCTATTTATCACTTTTTCAATGCATTTGACCTATATCTTAACTGCCACCATATTCACTGACACGTATTCCTAATTCTGACTACTCTTGCCACCAAATATTATCGTAATAAACTATGCGTGAGTTGACTGATGTGGTCAACACTGTTAAACTCGTTTAAGAGTTTTGCGGCCGCTGACTTTAGCCACGTTCAAAGACGACCTAGTGTCTGATTGTTAAAACTTTTGCGACAATAACATACTGGAATATTTTCAACCTATCTATTAAATTTTTAGTTGTGATTAAAGCTTTTGCTTTAGTATTTAATTATGTGTCTGGAGTTTCTGTATTAGGGTTATTAGTGCTGCCGCACCACAACAGAAGATCGCCGTTATCAGAAACCCTATTTTGATGCCGCCGTAGTGGTAGAGGATCATTGTTGTTGTGGTCACGACTAAAGAACGTCATTTAAAAAAATTCTAATTTAGTCAAAATTTTAATTTATTAGAGTTCACCATTGCGATTGAGGATCGTCAGCGTAGTTCCGCAACAGAGGATTGACACTTCCAAAAACCTTAATTTGGCCAAAACCATCGAATTAAATGCTGATATCTACTTATGAAGTCCATCTATGTTCAAATCCACCTCCTATTTCTTTTGTCAAACTCGAATTGGCTTCTATATGAGGTGGGATATTGAAATATATTTTAGATAAATATTTTTTATTGATATGATTAAATTTATTAGTTATTATGTAATTATGTCTAGTACATTATGTTAATATTTAGATATATCTACTATATTAGGTTGATATTATTTAGATATACCAACTTAGATTAGGTTATTCTTTGTCTTTTATAAGGACTATAAATAATCTTAATTTTATTGTTAATCAAAATCTCAGAAATTTCTCTCTAATTAGAATATTTACATAATTGTAAATTGTATTCTCCCTAAGTTAAGAAATTTTACATAATGTACAAACTGTATATATGCATATAAATAAGCCACATGGGTTTAATAAACCATCTAACAACAACAGCTATCTAGCACATTCTTCAAGCTAGAACATATAGATCGAGGGCGCCAAGCTTATCACACAAATACTTGATGTGAAGATATTAGCAAATTGATCGATAGAGGGTACATAGTTAGTCTAATGGACCAGATAATACCTTTTCATGAATGAATTGGCAGTCAACCCATATATGTTCTGTTTGCACGTGAAATACTCATTGGAAGCAATATGTTTTGCAGTTTGGTTATAACTTCATCTCTAGGTTGGAAGCAATATGTTTTGCAGTTTGGTTATCACATTATAATAAACTTTGTTCTGAGAAGAACTTCTTGTTCTAAATAAGCTCATAGGTGACCAAAGCCATGACTCGTACTCAGGTTCAGCACTCTATTGGGCAACTGCATTTTACTTTATACTTTTCCAAGAAACAAGATTACCTCAAACAAATATATGACATCTAGATGTTTCTTAGATAGGGATCTTGCCCGGTCAGCATCAGAATGTCCAAGAGATCCTTTAATATACCATAGAATCGAACAATATCCCAATGAGTAGTACATGGAGATTGAAGAAATTGACTGACAACATTAAGAACATAAGACATATTAGGACGAGTGGCAGTAATAATTTAGTTGTTTATAGAGTTAACATCTGTATGAGAGTGTACAGGCTCTAGCATATCCAAATCATACTTTTGTAGCGATATCACAATGCTGTCATGTGATGAAGTGACATCAATGCCAAGAAAATATCAGTAAGATGTTCGAGAGCATGTATTCCACCTTGACCACTGTCAGTAATGACAATATCATCAACATAGAGAATAAGATATAAACATGTGCTGGCAGTAGTATGTATGTCAAAGAGAGAATGATCTGATGCACGTCTAGTCATTCCAAATTCTTGTATAGTAGCACTAAACTACCCAAACCAAACATGAAGAGATTGTTTTAAGCCATATAGAGAATGACAAAGCTTACACAAAAGACTAGATTCCCCTTAAGCAACAAAATGAGGTGGTTGCTTATATAACTCTTGAAGATTACCATAGAGCACACATAATCCCTATTCTATTTATAAGTTTTTAAGTTACACCTGTTTATCTTCTTTTTTTCCAATAGTTACAAGAGTCTGTTTCTAGCCCCAAGTCTATCTCTAAGGCTTTCTCTCATCCCGGTTGAAGGCAAGAAACGGTCGATGAAATGGCTATCTTGGATCTGAGTGGTACATGGAAGCCCGTTTGATTACCTCTGGGTTAGTCTGCCGTTGCATGTCCTTGGGTTTAAGCCATTAAAGTTGGTGTGGATGGAAAATTTGATCACCTTAAGGGTCTCATGGTTGCCAAATGATTCGCATGGTCAGAATAATATTGACATCTTCTACTCGGTGGCCAAAATGACATATGTTCACTTGTTTATTCTTTTTGTTGAAATATAAGGTTGGCTTTTTATTTGTTAGAATCGTTGAAGGGCCAATAGAGGAGAGTCATCGGATGCGAAGGAGACGGGACTAGTGGTGAGTCAGGGACCATAGAGGAATAAGTAGAATTGGAATGTGAAAGGCGAGGATTACAAATTTAGACTGAAAAGGAGGAGGAAAGAGAATAAGGGGTTCTGAGCAAAGGAGAGGAATAACCATCAAAAAGTGACGAGAAAAAGAGGAAGGGCAATAGATCAGTGAGAGTCAAAAGAATATGCCATTGGTAGAAAAGAAATATTGACAACATGTAGGTAGGTAAGACTTGTACCCTTCTTGAACCTGATAGTAACCTAGAAAAATCCATTTTGTGCGGGAGAGTTTATCAAGGCCAAGAAAGTTCATGTACAAAATTAAGTACACCAAATAACGCGAGGCAAAGAAAACAATTTGCAATTGGAAATGGATATTGATGAAGAACCCCACTCTGAAGGATAAAAGAAGGTATGTGATTGATGAAGTAACAAGCAGCAAGTACCACATTAACACAAAATTGTTAAAGAACATTGTGATATACGAGAGGATTCTGAGTTGTTTCAATAAGGACAAGAAGACTAATGAATGATACTGTGAGATAAAATATATGAAGTCAGAGAAAAAAGATTCAGTAGCACTATCACAGCATCAGACTTTGATATATAACCCTAATTAAGTTTGAATTTTAGCACAACGGAAGGAAAATAAAGAGAATAACTCTGAATGGCTTCTCATTTGGTAAAGCCAAGTGCAATGTGAAAATTATCCACAATGTTGAAAGCCAAAAACAAACATGCTATGACTAGGACCTCAAAATATTAGAGTGGACTGAATCTCATATACTAAAGTGGACTAAATCGAAGGGTGCAGAAGCCCGATTACAAACTTGCTTGGGAAATGAAGCATAGGGTTGTTTTCCAAGCTAACACAACTTACACTAGAAAGATGTCAACGGAGACAAATGAGAAGATGTGCACTTCAACTTAGACATAAGGGGGATGATCAAAGACCTAATGAATAAGGGTTCTCAGTGGTGGCAACGCAGGTAGGCGTTGAAGATGAAAATGGATATGGAGGAATTGTAAATCTCATTACTCATGACAGCCAACCAACTGTCCCGTTTGACAATTCTGGATAAAAAAAGAATCATCATTCAAAGTGAAATAAGTCTAAATATTGAGTTAATCTATTGACAAAACACTACTAGAAGGGTTTATAGGAATATATAAGATGAACTCGAACACATGAGGAAGAGGACGAACAATACTAATTGTTGTAGCAATGGCTGAAGGTTCATTAGCCAAAGTAAGGGGCGGTAAAGATTAGATGGATGAAGATAAAAAGAAAATAAGAGGCTTACCAGAGGTATAACCGAACACCGAAATCAAAGATTCCAGAACCCGGTGGACAAGTGTGAATGACATAACCGATAGGATTGTCAGGTGGAATAGACTACTTGGATTGTTGTAGCAATGGCTGAAGGTTCATTAGCCAAAGTAAGGGGCGGTAAAGATTAGATGGATGAAGATAAAAAGAAAATAAGAGGCTTACCAGAGGTATGACCGAACACCGAAATCAAAGATTCCAGAACCCGGTGGACAAGTGTGAATGACATAACCGATAGGATTGTCAGGTGGAATAGACTACTTGGATGCTTGGCCATTGTTACCATAGAAGGAGAGGAATTTGCACGAAGCGGAGACAGAGTTGGAGATGGATCAATTTGAGCTACATTAGCCTCAGCAGGGCCACTATGTAACTTGTAGCATCGCTTCTTGCTGTGTCCTCACCTAGCACTAAACACAACAGGAATAAGGGCTACCACCCTAAGTACTACGATGGCCATCTCCATAGGTACAAAGGTAGATACCAAGGTAAAGCTTCCATTATTTGTAGTGGAGTCCAGAGAAGACATAGAGGCAACACGAGAGAGACGATTATAGACATCATCATATGATGATAGAAGGGAGCTTGACAAGATGTGGTCACAAATTGAAGATAATTTATGACGGGCAATAATAAAAACCGTGAAGAAGGTGTTACCTTGTTTAAGTTCCTCAACGACATACTTGCCTTGTGGAAGAAGACTAATGAAGTCGACTTTGCTTGATGACGTTCATCCTAAAAGGTCTGACATAAAACACGAATCCTCATAAAGATGTTACAAATTGGAAACTACTGCGTGTAAACAATGAATATCATTTGTATGTAAAAGGGCATCCTGTCTGCTCAACATATGACACAGTGAATGCAGTAAAATAAGATGCAACAAAGGATCAATAGATTCTCAGATAGAATCAATAAACTCCAACAGTGTAATCAGATGATCAAATAGGCTTTGCTTTGCACCACATGTCAACAACTTTAGACCGTGAGGAATAATTAGCATGGCCAATCATTTTTCTTTTTTTTTTTTGGTAGCGATTGCGGGGGTTGGATTAGTAATAGTTGAAGATGAAGAAGTCATAGAACATTGCTAAAAAGAAAAGGTATAAATAATAATAACAACATAATTTAGGCGGTAGATTGATACAAAGTGAAGAGAGTTGAGAGTGTGTTCTGTTTTGTATGGTGATGGAAAAGATCTCAACTTTGGTGATGATGGTACACAATAGCACGAAGGTGGCGGTGGTGCTGTGTGAAAGGATGACATTGGTGGCAGTGCATAGATAGGAGTGAAGCAGTGGCGGAGGGCGCATAGAGAGGATAACATCTGCACCACATAGAGGAAACAACGTCAACAGCTATGAGGGCGGCTGCACTGGCATCACCATGTAGAGGCAATGGCAGGTTGATGTGTTTGGAGAGAATGGATCAGTTCTAAACCTTGGCATTACCTGTTGCCTCTGATACCATTATAGCTGTGAATTTTTTTGTCCAAAAATTAAGAACTGATCCATTCTCTCCAATGGGCATCAACCAATAACTATCTAACAACAACTATTATCTAACACAAACAATGCAACTTGCATCACAATGCAAATGCAACGGATTAAAGCATGTTCTTATTATTAGAGCTTCATCCTAAAGAGAAAGGAAATGTCTATTTTTCTTATATATGAGAGTATTATTTCAGGGCGCGTTCCAACTTTGCAAGAGGGAAATTTTATGGAAAATATCGTCAATCTCCCTTGGATAAAGCCCCGACCTATTGTTCTTGGTAACTTCATGACATCCATCTCTCCTTCCACTCAATACACTGCACAATGAACCTCTTTCTTCTGTCCGATGATTAACCAAGATTATGTGTGATGATTTTTTGTAGGCCCAAGATTTAAAGAAGCATTCCAAAACCCCAATTCATATCTTTATGCTGAGTCTATTTTTGAGGTATATATACTACCTTTTCACGGGGTGAAATTATAATTGGACAATGTTTCTACTCAATTCTTCTTGCGAGTTTCTGTTAATATTCCTTCGCAAGCTTGCTGTGTTCATATGCACCTGCTCTCATCTTCCTGTCTGACTGAGCTGTCTATTGAATTTTTCCAACTACAGAAAGAAAAATATATTGTTACGTATAATCCAGCCAAGGGTAACATATATGCATTGTTCAAGGATCAAGCGAAGTCTGATGATATTCTGAAAGCTGCATTTCATGTAAGACAATGGAGCTATTGATCTCATATAGTTACGTACATTGCCAATATCACTTGATGGATTCACTATCTATTATCACAGGCACATGTGCTCCTTCATATCATTCAACCATTGAATCAGAACACTTCTTCTTTTAGAAGACTAGATCATAATATACCAGCTTCACAACCAACATCATCTGATATTGAATCTCATATTACGGAGTCCTACAAGTTGGTATCAGCTTTATACGAGCCTTTTAAAAGCAAAGCCAAAGAACAGGTATGACGTTCTTGGCGATTTTCCATTTGGTTAATTATTTGTTGGCAATTAGGTTAATTATTTGCATGCATGCATCGATATGTTCACTGTGTATGACTCTTATATCATGTAGGATTCCTAGCTAACTTCCAATCAGACACTGAGTTCCATATTGTATACCTACCATTTATTTTACCCGACTTTCTAGTAGTTGAATTTATGACATTTTTTGCATAATTTCCATTGAATAAATCATGGCAGTGACCACTGTGACTGCACTTGCATCTATGGATGATGTAATTTTGTTCTTTTAGGGGTGGGCTATGTCGGATGCATTGCTTAATCCTGGAAGAGCTCGGCTGTGTGGACTGGCCAAGTGAGGTTCGTTCGTTCATACATAAACCTGGGTTTCTAACGTTCTACTAATTTTGTGAACACCTCCCAAAGTGCAAGCTGTTTTGCAACTTTTCATTTGATTAAAGACAAAGGGACCTGAAGCACGTAGTGCAGAACCACGGGATCGGAACTTACAATGAATACAATCATTTTTATCTATACAAATCGATTCACCGTGCGAAGGGCCTCTTGGGTATTTCAAAGGCCAGGTGCTTTCCTCACTTGTCTCTGCTCGTGCTTGTTCTTTTTAGCGTATATCCTTGAGGATTTCACATGTTTTAGCCCCTAATCTTAACTTCTTTAACTTTGATTGAAATTGTTACCAATTTTCGACTGCATATTTTTGCTTTATTAGACTACTAACAGAGAAGGCTTTGGATTCGAAGTTCCTATGCGTGTATTGTGCCGTGAGTGTATTATGCTGTTTCTGTGGAATTGTATGCTGTCATTTCTAAAAGCAGAGTTTCTTTCACTAGTTTACTGTGACATAAAACACATAGATATGAATGATTTTGTTTAGAACTTGGAAGAAATCATCACTTACTTGAGTTTATTACCTTTTAGTGCATGCTATTGTGTGTTTTTATGTTTTGTTTGGCAAAATTGCTTATTATAACTGTAGGTTATTATTTATTACTATATATATATATATATTTTTTCTAGTGATCTATAAATTTGCATGATTTTTTTTTTTTTTTTTTTTGCTCTTTTGAAGATATTGCACAAATTATAATGTTACAAATACTAATGTTTTTTTTTTTTAAATAAGAGATAACCTTATGTAATTTTTAGCGAATTCTGTAATGTGTTTCTTAAAATACTGAGTGTCTTGGAATATCGAAATCTTGAAGGAGCATGGTATTGATTTTCTAAATCATATATGAGTTACAAACATATTTGTCTTGTGTGTGTGGTTGTATTTGTATTTTTTAAATGAAAATAATAGTTTGATGTATTTTTTGTGTGAAAATATAGGTGTTGAATATTATATTTTTTTGAGAAAAAATATATGTTATGAGTTTGAATATAAACTCAGTTCCAAATTTCGATTTTATTCAAGGGTTACTCTGTTGAAGTTCATTTGAACTAGAAAATGTTAAATAGTGGAGTAGAGCATGAGTGGTTCATGAAAAATAAAAAATCGAAAAATAAAATCAATATATTGTTTTTAAAATTTGATTTCATTATTTACAGGAGTGTTACGTTTGAAAGAGACATATATGAAAAACTATTAAGCAAGAAAAATTAAGCTTAAATGGTGTGGGTTACATTGCATTCAAGATATGACTGCCCCGCTAATAAATGCAAATTCAAATTGTAAAATGGCCCAATGTCCTAGGATAGTTTAGTTGGAACCGCAGCAACCCTCGGTCGAACCAGGCCGGAAAGTCACTAGTTGGAACCGCAGCAACCCTCAGTCAAACCAGGCCGGAAAGTCACACTAGTGGCAGGTGATCTGAGAACAAATCTAATCTTATACCACCAGATCATTTTTAATAGGATTTATTATTATTATTATTATTATTATTATTAGATGCAGATATGGTCCCAATATTAGTTTATTTCAATGTCAAATAATAAATGTGGTTTTCAGGTTTAACCTATCAACATTTAATATTGGAGGGAATTTGGATATTTAAAAAAACATGTTACATTGGTTTGTATAATAATCAGAAAGAAAAGCGTACCGCTATAACAACATTTGCTTCCTTTAATACTCCTTCCCTCGTCCAAATTAATTTCTTAATTTTGTTATTTTAGTGCATATGAAATCAATTTATTTATATATTTTTATTTTAGTAATTGTATAGATTTTAAAAAGATTTTCTACCATCAATACCTTTTTCTAGGGATAAAATTAATTATTTATAGTATTTCTTTTGTATCAAATATATATGAAATATTAAAATTAAAAGAATTACTTGCAAAAAATAAAGGATGAAGTATAGGTTTTACTAATACTCTAATCCTTCCATATTTACCTTATTTAGCCAATTTATGTTCGGCAAGAAAATTTTAAAAAATAAATGTTTTATGGATAAAGTAAAAAGATAATTGGGATTATTTTAGAAATTTAGTTGGTGATTAAAAAGAATAAAAGATATAATGTAATAAAGCAAGTGACATTTATGGTAAATAAGAGAGTAATAATTAAATATAGATTTTTTTTTTTTCAAATATAGTAATAGATAAATTTAACGGATGAACAAAAAAAAAATATAAGTGAGAATAAATTTATGGAGCAGTATTATTTAACAAATATGTATATTTTACATCTATATTCTATATGTTTCATCATTTTTATCCTGTTTATTTTTTACATGATTTATATATATATATTTTTATTTATAACTATTATTATTATTTTTTTTAATAATGTGGAAATTTACGGCGGTTATCTTCGGATGTGCTTTTGGTAAACTTTTGGCCGAAGACCTGCTAACTAACCTAATAACTATTGTTATTTTAAACAAACTTATAAATTATATTCAAAAGAATAAACATGGAAAATTCACATATAAATATAGAAAATGGTAAATATTTTAGAACATTCCAATTAAAAATAACAAATGGCAAAATATATTGAAACGATGGAATACTTTGAATAAAAGAAGAGAAAATTTTGTATGTACATGTTTGTTTAGTGTTTTTTAGTTTGTGTTAAATATGTTTGCAACACTTCACCTTGCTAACCACACAAGGAGTATGGACCGTCCTTAAAGATCAATACAAATTCTATCCATAAGATCAACACAAATTTTATTACTTATTCAGGCAGGTACTTGGGATCGAACCATATGTGGCAGGTTTGAACCTATAATCTCACGGTTACAAGTCCAACTCCTACACCACCAGGCCATCTCCTACGGGACCAATGCATTACTAGTCTTTGTTGTTTAGTTTGATGGATCGTGCTTTGTCATAGGCATACCGCAATTTAACATTTATTTACAACAAATACTACTAACTTTATTACATTCTCTCTTTCATTTACTTTACTTTTTAACTAAATTTTCAAAAATACCCCAAACTACCTATCACATTTTTAATAAAATGTTCATTTTTTTTTAAAATTCTCGTACCAGATCCAAATAAGCTAATTTTAATAGACGGAGAAAGTAAGATTTCATAAGTGTATGGTTTTCTCATTCATATAATTGTGGTTGTTTATTCTTCATCAAATCTCACTTTGTAACACTAGCATTACTTCTTTGAAAGATAGATTAATGTAGTTGTGTTTTCTTTTTTCAAAAAATAAAATTATTTATTATCCACCTCTCTAGCATCTACTATCTTTATACTTACACTTAGATTTTTTCGTTGAATATATGTGGAATAACATGTATAAGCCATCTATTCATGTCTTTACATGCACCAAACAGTTTCTAAGTAGTTTCTAGGGAAGAAACAATTGTAGCGATGAGAACTTAACCAAACACATAGTCATAATTTGGCTTAAACTAAAGAGAGACAACACAAGTGATAGACAATATGAAATATAATTTAAGACCAATTAATTAGATAGTAGAAAACCGATTTTCAAATCGCAATAATCGTTGGTGACAGAAGCATTACTAGCTGATAATAACTTCATTGTAAATTATGAGATTCACATGTCCTTTAGGACAAAAACAACAAGAGACCTAACAAAGTCTTGCTTAAATAGCTAAGTATGATCACAATGACTTGTTCATTCGATTCGTCCTTATACATATAGTTCACTTAATTCGTTCTCCTATATCACTAAAGAAGACGGACACTATAAAAAACGTATCTAATTAGCTGCAATATTTTTAACTACGAAATATTTTTGTAGTTAAAATGTGTCATTTAATAACAAAACAATTTTATCGTTAAAAGAAATTATGACCTATAAAATTAATTTCGTCGCCAATTTTTTTTTTTTTTTTGCTAGAAAATTCTATTTTCACAGCAAAAAAGTTTTAGCTAAAAAATTATTTTCGATAGCTAAAACCATTTGTTTTAAAAAACTCATGCATATTTTGTTGCTAAAACTCATTTGTTATAAATTTTATTTATATAGCGAAAGAACTTGAGCTACGAAATAATATTTTCATAGTTATATATGTTTTCTTAACTTTCATTGCAAAAAAGTTATTTTTAGTTACGAAAGTCATATTTTTATCACCAAAGACCTTTACTAACGCAGTATAGATAACATAATGAGTTTTGTCGCAAAAACTTTTTTACTATGAATTCATTACATTTTGCTATGAAATTTTTTGTAGCTAAACTTTAAACTTTTTTTTTTGGTAGTGGAAGCACTTCAATTTTATTGGCCATACATAAGAAAGTTTATCACTATTTCCCCCATTATTCAATCCAATATATATGTCATTCACAAGTAGTATCACTTTTACCAACTGGTCCATAAATGAGAAAGTTTGATATACTTGTACATATTTCTCTGATTACTACCATTTTTTTTTTTTTTTTGGATGATGTGGGAATCAGCAGCCAAGCCAAAGGTGTGTTTGTTTGGGAGTTTGGATTTTAGATTATGATTTGAATAGTAAAAATTTTGAATTTGAATAGTTGTATGATGTGATATAAATAGGTGTTGATGTGATGTTTTGAATGTAAAATTAATTTTTAGTATAATATAAAAAATGAAAAATAGGTGTTTGATTTGATGTTTTTTGGTGAAAAAAATTGGATGAATAGTTGAATTTAAATCCAATTCTCCAAACAAACACAACTCCCGACCGAACCTAATACCCTGCAAACCAGGTCCGACGAGAAAGATACTTGCGTTTGTTTGTATTATTCATTGACCATCAATCTTCTACTTTACTCACCTTATGTCTCAGATGTTTCACTCCACTACAACATGCAATATTCACTTTGCTAGACTTCACTTACTGTTTTTTATATTTTAAATTCCTCACTTAGTATATAGAAATGGATAATCAACTCAACTTTTTTTCTTTATTTTCACTTAACTTAAAATGCAACTTCTTTAAGAATATAATCCAGACTTAAAATTTTTTTAGTTCGACTTAGAAACTTACAAGTATAACGAGGAGAAATGCATTATTTGAAGCAAAAGCTTCATAATACAATAATATTTGGCACAATTAAATTTACTTATTTTTATTTTAATTCTTTCATATCGAAAACAAAACAAAGAATAATATAAAAACAAAGGATGATTTAACATGTAATGTCATGGTAACATGCATAATTAATATATATATATATATATATAATATATGTGGTATTAATTTTTAGTATTATTTAATTTAAATTCAAATACCTAACATCCCAAGGAATTGGTGTTGTAAATTTATAATTAATTCCAACAATTGGCAATCGTCTAAGTTAAGAAATTCTCACACATAGTGTGAACTTTATACTAAAAGGTTGCTTCAAATTAATATTGAAAAAAAATGAGTTTAATTTAATTGGAAAAAAAAAAAAAGACCCATTTTTGGGACCACAAATGCAATTCAAAAATATTTATTAGAGTGAGAGCATTCTTCTTTCCATAACCTTCTAATACTTTTTTTTTGGTAGATACAAAAGCACTTAAAAACTTTATTATGAAAATGACATTTCATCTTAATTTAATATATATATATATATACACATATATGTATATGTATGAGCATGAGTTTGAAAATTTACAATTTTAGTAGTGTATATGTTTTTTTTTGGTCACTTATTTGAAAAATGTTAGAAATTAGTTTAACTAGTCTATGTTGATTCTCTTTATTTTTATTTTATTTTAAAACAAATTACTATGCAATATCATATTTTATATATATATATATAAAAATATATTATTTTATCTTATAAAAATACTTCATCGGTCCGGTAAAAATAGCTCATTAAGATTAAAAAAATGAATATTTTACTAAAAAAATGAAAAAATAAAATAAAAAAATAATTGGAGATATTTTTAAAAATTTAGTTAGTAATTAAAGATAATAAAAAAATAAAATCTAATAAACAAAGTGGCAATAATTGCGGGAAATAGTTAAATGTTGAAATTTTGAGTTTGTTAAAATTAATAAAGGACTGAATTCAAACAATTAGACCAATTATGATAATCCTAATAATTAAAAACCATATATAAGGTATTTGTTATTTTAAACTTAGATTTTGCTTTTTTACTATATAATCATCATAATTTTATATAAAAATAGTATTTTATTTTATAAAATTTCACAATCAAATTATTATTTACTCTTGTCACTTAAATTTATTCTTATTTCAGTTTTTAATAGCAAATACTATTTATTTTTTTTACCCTAAAAGAAAAAAATTTATATTTTTATCTACTTTTTTAAAAACTCGTCTCTTGTCAAATGAACATAATTTTACTTACAAAGGGAGTATTATTTTTTTTTAAGAAAAAACCAAATTACATAACAATAGTAAAAAAAATAAATTGAAATTATATATGGTTCAAAAGAACAAAACCTTTGTTTCACTAATATACTGAATATAAAATAAAATTATAATGCTACTTACCAATATTACAACATTAGCCAACAAAATAAAAAGAAGATTTTTTTTTTAATTTTTTTTAATTTTTTATTCTAACAAAACAAATACTCCCCTCTATCCCTTATATATCTATCCGTCTGTTTTTTCACAAAGTTTTAAAAATATTATTATTATATTGGATGTAGTATGAATAAAGTACAAAAAGATTAAAATGTATTGTGTGATATAAATGTAATGATATTTATGTAATATATTGTAAGTTATAAGAGTATTTTTAAGGTTAGTAGAAAATACAATTACTAAAAAAAGAAAATGAATACTATGTTACGAAACATACCGAAAAATGGATAGATTGTTAAGGGACGGAGGGAGGTAGTATAATATTTCTCAACAAAAATAGTATAATATATTTGAATTCCATTTTTTGTGATTTCATACTGAAATTAATGTTATATAATCGATAAGGTTTATAATAAAAAATATATATATATATTTTTTCATAAATATCACATCAAAATACATTTTAAACAAAACTCAAATCAACATTTAATTTTAAATAAATTTTAAACCACAACCAAATGAATAACTTCTCATTGAAATTGCATGGTCAACCAATGAAATTATACTCCATAACTTATCAACAAATGATTACAATTAATAAATAAAACTAAGTGAAGTTGTTTGGTTTTTATTCCTAACACATATTAACTTCGCATAACTTATGATAAAAATATACTAAACCCTCCGTCTATTTTCTATTATCCTAAAGTATATTTGCACGATTTTTTAGGTGATTATCTTTTTGTTATGAATTGACAAATTTGTCCTTAATTGTATAATAAAGATTAAAAGTAATAGGAAAATAGGATATTAGTTTGTGGACGGAGGAAATATTATTTAATGGCATAAATTTTAAAATAAAAAATTGATTTTAAATCAAAATCAAACAAAAAGAAGAACTTTCAATAGCAAGGGTTTAATTTGTTTTCTTTTGAGGCCTTTTCCTTTTTTCTAATAGTCAATCTCATCATTTTCTTTTAAAAAAATGTCACTTACAATACCTATTTTTTTTTAAAATGTAAAATAAAATCACATTCAATAATAATTTACATTTTGATTTAAATAATATTTTAGTTGAATATTTTGTGATTTTTTTATATATATAAAAAAATCGAGAGATGCATAATAAAAGAAATTGAAATAAAATATAAAGAGATTAAATCACAACAAAACAATCATTAATTTTTTAAAATAAATAATCTATAAATTAAAGACTAAAGCATTAAATATAGGAAGATATTGTCATTGAATGAATGGACTATATTGAATTTATTATCATTTGGGCAAGGGTTTTTTTTTTTTTTTTTTTTTTTTTTTTTTAAATGATAAATTTTATAAATAGTAAAAGGTTGAGCGTGTGGAGTTTGTTCGAATGTATATTTATATATATATATATATTTTTATCTATTCTACTTTTATATGAAAATATTACTCTCTCCGTCTCGGTTATGGTGTTCATTTTATTGTAGACAAGAGAATTTAAGAAGAGTAGAATTAGTAAATAATTAAAAATTTATTAGTGAAAATAATTATGATATAATAAAAATAATTAAAAATTAAAATTAAAATTAAGATAATTAAATTAAAAATTTTAAAATAAAATTAAAGTGTATAATTTATTATTATTATTATTATTATTTTTAAAGCGACAAAATAAGTGAATAGACGGAAATAGAAAATGAAGGAGCGAGTATTACTAGAAGATGATTAATTTCCACACGACCACGTACAAAATAATAATAATACTAATAATATATCAATGAACAATTCCAAAACACACGTATATGTATATATATATAAGATAATCCCAAATTAAAAGGACATACAGAACTGAACTTAGCTTAGCTAGGTAGCTCAAGCATGGAATAATTAATTAATATCCCTAATTAATCATCAAATCATCGTCATCACTTCCATGGCATGAATTGAAGCGATGATCAAGTCGACAGTCGTGGTTGACGACTACTGTCTTCCCATTGCCATTGCCATTAACATGATTATGAGTATTATTATTATTATGAAGATTAATTTTCTTGTTGTTGTGCATCCAGACCTTGAAAACCCTAATTCTGACCCCAATCTCCTGACAGAATTGCTGCACCAAACCCTCATCTTGCTTCTGCATTCTCCACCCAATCCTCTCTGCAAATCCCACCATCCTCTCCTTCTGCTCCTTGCTGAACTTCGTTCGAAACCTCTTGTTGCGACGATCATCCGGCGACATTAATAATCCCTTCTTGTTCCCTACACCATTATTAATTCTGATCTGATCAACAACAATTCTTGGACAAAAAGCGGTCTGCTGCTGCTGTTGCTGTGTTAGTATCTCTTCTTGCTGCCGGTGAAAGTTGCGGTGACAGGCGCAGGCGGAGCAGATGAGGGCTTCTGGGGTGTCGTCTCGGCCGCTCGGCATGAACTCGCCGCAGCCATCTGTGGCGGTCACTCCCATGGCTGCAGCATGGTTCTTCAGGCATTCTTTGTACCTAATTATTGCCTGAGACTCAGCCTCCACCATTAATGCTTTCTTGATTTTGTGTTGCTGATGATGATCATTTTTGGAGGACATATTTATTGGATCCTGCTGCTGCTGCTGCTGATTGAACATGATCATATTCATTTCCATGGCTGATGCTGCTGGATGATCACTGGTTAGCCCTTCCATTCTCTCTCCAGATCGGATCCTTTTCAAATTTAATTTGTTTTTGTAGCGATCGATCGATCAGTTTACCTGTGAAAAACCCTAATTGAAATACCTGTAGTATCTATCTATTTTTAATTAAAATTGTGAGTGACAATATATATACACATAAATATCTATCATATATACCCTAATATGCAAACCTTTGTACATACCATTCTAGGAAATGAACTAAATAAATAAAAAGAGAATATGCATACTCGAAAATATATATATATATATATATATTACCTTGATGATGCCATATATGCAAAGCTCCACTTTATTGAATTTTAGCTATGCCAATCTGCTACTGCATTGAGGTATATCCTATTCCTGCCTCAAATTAATATATGAGAAATTAAACTAGCCATTTTGAATACAATAAGAGAGGTATATATATATATATATATATAGAGAGAGAGAGAGAGAGAGAGAGAGAGAGAATTAAATTTGGTAGATTAAATGAAGGGACTAAACTAGAGTGAAGTGAGGGGACCAATGCAAGAAAAGTGTCTTGGCTTATACAAAGAAATAGGAAGGAATAATCCAGAAATCAATTATAATCATCATTTAAAAGAACCCCATGTATGTATGTAATAGTTGCATGCGAAACAAACAAGAAAAAAAGGAAAAAATAATGATAAATAATAATAATTGAAATTTGAAAAAAAAAGTGGGGTGTAGAATTAAATGGAAATATATATATATATATATATATAGAAATTGAATGGAATTAATTACTTTGCTTGGCTTATACTGTAGTGTAGTGTAGTGTAGTGTAGTGTTAGTGATAGCTGCAGGCTGGAGAGGAACGTTAGAGTGTGTGTCAGATCCAAAATTAAATATCAATAAAAAGACAAAGCAACGACAACAACAGCAACATTTACACATACATACAAATATATACATATATATATATAAGTTTTTGTTTTTGAATTACACACATGCATGGAACAACGTTCAATCCATAAGCAGCTTAACACATCGAATTATATTAGAACTCAAAATTAAATGAAACTAATATTAGGATGCTAATTGAGACAATACATGAAATATAGGCCGATAATATATGAAGTATAAATCAACAATATAAGATGTTGGCTGAGAATACAATATTACAATAACATGCAATAAATACTACGACTGATTTCAGCACAAACGATATGTTAACACAACACACACATGTAAAATATAAACCGACAACTTCATGTAATAATAATGACGGCTGTTACAGTGCTGATTTAGAAAAATCGGTATTGTATCAATTTTCTCATATAGCACCGTTTAAACTTTTAGAAAACACCGTTCAGTGATTACAATAGCACAAATTTAAAGTTCAGATAGCACCAAGTATATTTGTATAAGAGCACAATATATAATCTATAGAGCACTTTTATATACCACCACACATACTCTTATAAAACACCATATATACTTATGTGGAGCACTAGTTTAAATCAGGCTCGTTCCTAACATGTCGTGGGCCCGGGGAAAAACCTAAAACAAGAGCCTTAACAAATATTTATTTGGTTAAAAGTTTTGTACCGATTTTGGAACAAACTTAATTAAAAAGAAAATTAAACAATAAACAACACAACTCTAAAAAATTTACATCAACTCAATATGTGATATCATCTCATCAAATTCATTGGTATTATACAATTATTTCATATTTAGCTTAATCACCACTTTTATTACTAAACTTTATCACAAGAGCTACTTCCCGCATACTTACAAAATATAAATAAAAATACATAATATATTACATAAAATTATTCTTCCTAACATTTTTAGATGCAAAATCATTAATAATATTATCAACTACAATAGTTTCTAACATTTCTTTTTTAATAGATAGCATATGTAAACCATTCAATCTTTTTTGAGACATAGTTAACTTCAAATAAATTTTCAATAATGTTAATTTAGAAAAAATTCTTTTAGCCGATGTTACCTTTAAATAAAATGTTCATAAAATTCGATACGCAATTGAAACATTTGAATAACTGCACGCGCGTCGCACAACTGCAAAATAAAGTATCAGTTCCTATGCCACAAAAAATTTGCAAAATGCAATAGTTCGGTGAGTAGGGTTGTCTCCGCAGGGAACAAAAATAATTTGAACATTCGGTTGAATATAATTATACTAATACACATATATATAATAAGGGGAGGGTTGATTATCACACTAAATAAGGAGAAAATAAATTGGCTCAACTAAATAAAATAAAATAAAATAAAATGCAAGGCGGATTACTAAAGATGATTAAACTCTAGCATAGGTATGCATTTTTTGTTCGGGATATAAATTCTGTTCATCGACTAAAAATCAAGTTCATTGACTAGTTGGATAAATTGATTATATTTAATCCACACGCGTTCACAACCAACCTTTCATAACTTTGTCGATAGCTAAGGTATGACCGTTAGCTATTTTCCTAATCGAGTGAGAATCCTAGGTACGACCGTAATTTTACTGACTCGACGGCTTTAAGTGCTAGAAATGTCCAGTTCAATTTAACAAAATTCCTACTCGGATTTGTTTAAAATTGATTCTAATTCTTCCCTAGAGTATTCCTCTAGGTTCCTACACCAATTGGAAAATTACACAATTACGGGTGTCAATCTCCAATTTAGCTACGAAATCTCAAATCAATATGTGTGCAATAATCAATTTAAGATTTCTAAACTTATAAATTAGAAGAATTAGAAATACCCAATATCGATGAACACCCAATTAAACAAAACCAAGTATCACAAATTCAATCCCAAACATCAATTCACATTTACGCTAGAAATGAAATTACTCGGAATTCGTAGAAATTGAAAACACAAACAAATAAAGAAGTTCTTCGTGCCTTCAATTTTGAAATCGACAAAGAAGAACAATATGAGGATAGAAGAAGAACGCCCAAAAAAATCATCTGCACTCATTCTCCAAGTTCTCATATCTTCCGAGCTCTTCTTTCTCCTTTCTTCCCTTTAAAAAAAATGATGTTGTGGTATAACTTGGTAGTCTCATTTTCTTCCCCTCTTCAATTGCAAATCGTTTCTTTTATTCTCCATCCCAAGATCCCATTTGTAATTAAATCTCAAATACTTTTTATATTGCCAATTTACCCCATAGGCCTTTTTGTAAATTTCATATTTCCCACATTGTGTTGCGTGATCACGCCTAAGACCTTTATGTATTATACTCATTTTCTTCCAAATATGCCCAAAAACTTGTCAACTTCATGAAACCTATTACATAATAAAAAACACACCATAACAGCATATATACAAAATTCTGCAACAAAAAGTTGCTCAAAATATAGCAAAATATTATCATATATAGCACGTATCAATAACAATAAGTTGCTCTAACATATTAAAAATATTCAATGGGTTAATTTAAATTATCTGGTAAAATAATTTGTAAAACTTTTAATTAGTAATAAAGTCTTCTAAATCAACATCACATAAATCACTATAGATAAAAATATTTAAAAAAATTACACAATAGTTTTTTTAATTATAATTTAAAAATTTAATTTCTTTTTAAAATTAAATAAAAATCCAAAAATACTAGAATTAAATTGATATAATTGTTTGAATATCTCGTTTAAGAATGCAATAGACATATCTATACAATAACTAAAAGATATCAAAGAATGAGAGTTGATAGAGGAGGGAGTGAAAAGAGATTTCTTCACTTACATTCAATTAATGATACATACACAGCTATAGGTGAATGAAAGACCGACCACATGTATGGATAAAAATATTAGTATTTTGCAACGTAAAGAATGACCTGGTGGTGTAAGGATAAACTCATGATCATAGTTATGGATTTACGGGTTCAAATATTCAAAGGGTCTTGTCTGCTACACATGCATGGTTTGGCCCAAATAAGCCTCAGGCCTAATTTATAAGATATTAGGTTCGACTGGAGTTTACTCAAACTGTACTCAAAGAGTAAAAGTTATGAATTTTTACGTCATAAAAAAAATAAAAATATATGTGTATCCTATATTAGGCCTTGTTTAATATTGATTGGATATTTTTAGGCAAAGAACGTAACTAATGGAAATCTCACTAGAAAAAAAAAAAAGAATTCTATTAGGAAAAAAAAATCATATTAAAGAAAAAAGGTAATTCATTCTTGTATTGATTCATTCATCTTGTTTTGGATTTTATTTTAGAATTTATAGCTGATATATTTTAATTTATTTCACCAATTTATTGAACATTGCAGCCAATAGGAATTTGGTTATATAATCCAAAAAATTATAATTTGATCGGATTAATTGGTGAAGTATACTTTGTTCTATCTTATTTGATACACTATCTCTTTAATTGAATAATGCAAGAAACATTATCTTTATGTATAATTGTTACTAGCCTTTTACTATCAAACACTAACCTAGCTAACTAGTCACTACACATTCTCGGCTAGCTTCACTAATAACAAATTATTTGATATAATTTGATTGTGTAGCAAGTTAATGATTATTTAGTGATTTTTCAAGAAACTTGTGCTTGTTTGTGAAGTTTTGATTTTGATTTTAAATTTTGAACAGTAAAATTTTGAATTAAAAGAGTTGTTTGATATGTTATTGATGTAATGATTTGAATAGAAAAAAAATGTTTGATTTGATTATTTTTGAAGATTTTTTTTTTTTTATTTTATATATAAAAAATAGTAAAATTTAGCCCAAAACCCACAAACAAACCCACAAGTTTTTTAGATTTTTAGCTATATATGGGTCAAACGTGTATCCAACGTCGGCATAATCTAATAGTTTATGTAAAAAATTATTTGAATAAAATGGGGGCCTAAATAATTAGTCAATTGGAGATAGCACAAATTATATTTAACTCCATTCTAGTTTAATTTAGTAGGGGTTGATCTATTGATATCAAATACAATCTTTAGCATTGTTCAATTTTGTAGATACATGAGGTGCACCTGTTGTACTGGAAAAGTACTTCAAGACAGTTATTTCTTCATTTTGCTCTTTAAATCTAAATAGATCATTGGTATAATAAAATGATCGAACAACTATTGAATATATTCAATGAATATTGGATGCGATTTATCTAAATAGAATCAGTTTAATGTCTTCAAAGTATAATAAGTTTACTGGATAATTTATTTTATTTCTTATGTATTCAATTTATAGACCAAAATAGTGTTTTTATCTTTTAAAAATATTTGATCTCATTTTTTTTTTCCCCTTCAAATACTCCCCATCTACTTAGAGCATTTATAAAATTTTAATCAAATTGAGATCATCAATATACATTTATAATTATAATAATTTTAGTTTTGAACTCGTGTTTTTCTTTTTTAATGAGTTATTAGTAAAATATTATCTACC